AACCCCAGGAGGAAAAAAAAAAAAAAAAAACACACCCCACATTTTATGTTGTTTTTCTGTGAGTGACATCTGGGTTTTTTTTTTTACATTATTTGGTTCAGCAGTAGTTAAAGGTAATAGGGCCCCCTGGTGACCCTGAGGAGATAGAGTAGGAATTTATTGACTTTGAAGCTATGGGGAAAATGCTGGCTTGGTCCAGCCCTGAGTTTTGGCACCACTTCTAGTTGCACTGATGCTGTGTCACCACTTCCACACCATTTGCTGCCTCCCCACCACCTCTGTATCTGTCTGGTTCAGTCCCAGGGCACTAGCACCTTACCCAGCTAAAGCAACTTCCACCCAGTGTGTTAGGTAAATGGGGATTCCTCACCAGACCTTGTTCAGCTCTGCTGCTGCTCTCCGCAGCTTCACCACTGGTATCAGGACTGATGTTGTCTACATGCTTTCCCTTTCTCTAGTCACACCTCTATTCTTAGACACCATGTTCAGGTCTTCAGGCTTTTAACCAAGCAAGACTGAATGTCACCTTTGTGAAACCAGATCCAGCTTTATGGGTCAGTTTTGTCCTTGCATTATGGAAGGGTTCAATGGTACATTGGATCCTTAAACAGAGTCCTTGCCATATAGGATTTCTTCCCACACTTTATGGGATGGATCTGGCTTTGGCTCCTTTCAAATCCTGCAGAGCTCTAGGGTTTCTAAAGCCTGGATGTGCATAGATACTGTCATGCAGCACTTAAAAATGGATGGAAGCTTGAACAATAGAGGGCTAAATAACAAAGCTAGTTCAGATTAATCAAAATGTATGTAGTTTTTTAAGAACAAACAAAAATAAAAAATGCAGGGGAGGGAGTTTTTAAACCAGCTCCATTAGCTAAACTCCTCCTTTCTTTTAATCAGCTGGGGAAGGCTAAATATGTAGGCACCTCCTCTAGGTGCCAGACACTTCTTCATTGACAGCATTTACACCTCTGTTCTGAAAGGCAGGCCTTCCAAGAGCTTGTGCATAAACTGCCATGTGTAGTTCCTTTAATGGAATGTTTATCCTTCAAAGAGCTGACACAATAGACTGTAGCTGCTGATCAAGCACATACACTCATATTTAAGGAAAAAAAGGCATTTTATTTGCTCAGTAATTCAAAATTACTCCTATTTCAGTCTCACACATAAATCCCTCATAGTCCATAGACCTGACGGGATTGTAATGACTGTGGCAGCCCCAGCTATCAAGACCAACAGGAGTCATATAATAAAATTCCTATCAATATTATCTTCAGGACCAAGAAACCAATCTTTTGCCTTTCCTGGATAGATCTGAACTGAAGGTTTGGGAGATGCAGGTACTTGGCACCTTGGAACATCAGACCATACCTCCACCAGCCTGCACTGCATAAACAGTCAGTATTTTATGTTTCTTGTCTTGAGACTATCATGTGTATTTCCAGAGTAGCCTGAAGAGATGTTAGGTTTATGGCCTCATTGGCATTTATTATGAAGAGGTCTACAAAATGGTCACTGTTTGAAAAGGTACCTTGTTGAATTGTAAATTACTGTCTGAATTTGCTAGGGGTGCGTGCTGTACATTCTAATGTTCCAAACCAAGTGCCAGATGTGGACAAAGGAAAGCTGAAGACAGAAGTACTGGCTTTTTGCTATACCAGCTTTCCACGTTGCTCAGGATCTCCAAGGGTCACTGTGTCTGATGACACCAGTATCATTTATGAGAAACCCTCCTGGAGAGGGAGAAACATTCCTGGAGGAGAGGAGGAAACAATCAATTTAGTTACCTATGTTATATATTCTAGGCATATCAAGAGACTGAACAGGTTCCACAGGAGATGTCTATGTAATAGCCTGAAAATAAAGTGGGAAGACAATACTAAACACTGAAGTACTGGAACATACAGGATCGACACACTTAGAATGCATCTTGAGCAGGTCCAAGGAGGTGATCCTCCCCCTCTATGCGGCACTGGTCAGGCCGCAGTTGGAGTACTGCGTCCAGTTCTGGGCGCCGCACTTTAAGAGGGATGTGGACAGCATGGAGAGGGTCCAGAGGAGGGCCACTCGTATGATCAAGGGACAGCAGGGTAGGTCCTATGAGGAAAGGTTGCGGGACCTGAACCTGTTCAGCCTTCAAAAGAGAAGGCTGAGGGGGGATCTTGTGGCCTGTTATAAACTGGTTAGGGGGGATCAGCAGGCGCTGGGGGAGTCCCTGTTCCCCCGAGCGCCGCAAGGAGTGACCAGGAACAATGGTCACAAGCTGGCGGAGGGAAGGTTTAAGTTGGACATCAGGAGGCGCTACTTCACGGTCAGGGCGGCTAGAGTCTGGAACCAGGTTCCAAGTGAGGTGGTGCAGGCTCCCACCCTGGGGGTTTTTAAGAGGAGGTTGGATGACCACCTTACTGGGGTCATTTGACCCCAGTGCTCTTCCTGCCATGGCAGGGGGTCGGACTAGATGATCTGCTCAGGTCCCTTCCGACCCTAGAAACTATGAAACTATGAAACTAAGAAACCACTATAAAGAAGATGAGGTTGTGGTGGATTGACCGTGTCAGGAGAATGGGAAAAGACCATATCCCCAAGAATATTTTGTACAGTGAGATTCAAGACAGCTCTAGAAAGTGAGGTAGTGCTCTACGGTGGTATTACAAGATCTACAAAAATTATATGAAGTCATTCAGCATCAACGTAGAATAGAATTCTACACGCTGCTCCCAGCTTTCTATCTGGAGGGAGTATCTGGCACTAGGTGCAGCTCAACAAGAAGTGGCTTTGATCCAGAGGATGGAAGCAAAGTGAGAAAGAAAAAAGCACCTTGCTGTAAAACTGGGACTCTAACTCAGACAACATCTGGATCATTGGGTATCTATACACCTGACGGACCTCTGCTCTGACGCGTGCTAATTAGCATGTGTTGGAGCAGACATGATCAACTGAATCTGCTGGAGTGTGATAATTAGTGTGCTATAGCAGCCTCCGTGTCATGTGTATTCAACATCCCTGTTTCAAAATGGCAGTGGGGGCACTTTAACTAAAGTTCATTGAATGAGCTTGAGTTAAAGTGCCCCCGCAACCATTTTGAAACACAGGGATGCTGAACACGTGACACTGAGGGCACTTTAATTAGAGCCATTCTAATTAAAGTGCCCACCTCCACCCTACAGCACTTGTATAGACGCCCTGTGAAACTTGTAACAAGTAGGGGTGTGCACAGTAGGCCCTATTCAATTCAGATTCGGCCCAAATCAGGGACAGTGATTCGATTCGTTGATTCAAATCACTGTCCCTGATTCGATTCGATTCGATTGAATCCGAATCTGAAGATTCAGTGCTGATTTGGAGAGTTAGAGATTTGGCCACAGACAAAGCTTTAGATGTTTTTTTCTACGTACCTCGAGGTACCAGGCGCAGCTCATGATCTTTGCGATACTGGGGCACATGAAGCATCCCACAGGAGCGCAGGGTGGAGGGGGTCTCCACGTGCTTGGCGGCAAACCCAGAAATGGGCCAGAAGTACTTCTGGTCCACTTCCGGGTCCACTGAGGAGCATGTGGGGGAGCCCCCCCGGCTCAGTGATCAGCTGTGGGTGGACCCCGGGTGCCTCCCCGAGACCCAGAAGGCAGCAGTTGCTGAGCCAAAGAGGTGTTTCTGGTCCATTTCTGGGTCTGCTGCCAAGCATGCTTGGGACCCCCCCAAGCTCCTGTGGCATGTTCCATGCACCCCAGCATTTACAAGCCCCTGCTACCTAGAAGCATGTAGAAAAAACATTTAAAGCTGTGTCTATGTCCGAATCTTTCTGAATCTCTCCGAATCAGTTTGGGGTGTTCCAATTTGATTCAGAGAGATTAAAAGGTCCTCTGATTTGATCTGGATTCAGAGATTTGGCCACCAAATCAGGCTGAATCAAATCAGGGACTGAAGTTTCACACAGCCCTAGTAACAAGCTGTACTGCTCTCATATTAGGCTCATCAGCCACAAATGGATTCATCAGGCACCTGACTAGACCTTCTACATGTACACCAAGATCTGAAGGATCAGTGGTTGCCTACTATAGCAGAACCTAGGGGAAAAGGGGTTTCAGTGGAGGGGACTCTGACTGAGTCCTGGTTCAGCCACAAATAATCTGTGTGACAGCGGGCAAGTTATTTAATTTTTCTTACCTCTCTGTGTTTCATCTGTAAAGTGAGGAGGACATTTCCCTGTCTTGCTAGGGTGCTATGAGGATAAAATTCCATTAATGACTTTGAAGTACTCAGATACCCTGGTGACAAGCACCATCTAAGTACCCAGATAAAATAAAAGCTTCATGGCCACTTTGAAACAGGAGAGTTATAGCAAGGTCACAGTAGTAAACCAAGGTTGCAAGATTAGCATTGGAGAACAGTGGGAAATCAGCCATTTATCCTTTCTGAACTAGCCCTCTGGTAGTCACTGTAACCTAAAAATCACATACCGCCCCAGAGTGACTTCCTTTTTTCTGTTAGCTTTACATTTGGAAAGCTCACAATCCAGCAGTCAGATTCCAAATGATGTTTTTCTGAATGTGCTGCAGTTGGTGCTCCATTTACAATAGATACATTATTCTATTCTATTCTCCAGCCTGTGAGTAATAAATTCTATTGGTATTAGTCATGTTTAAATGCTTACCTTTCAAAACTGCATTGGATTCGATAGGCTAATCTTCCAATAGACATGCAGGAAGTTTTCATTGAGGGATGCAGTCCTCATGACAAATTACAACCTGCAGTTCTTTGTACTGCTACGTTGAATGCTTTTGTTAGGGAGGTGTTTGAAACCTTGAGTGGAGGGAATCAATAGCCATTTAAAGGTAGATTTCAAACAAACAATAGGTTTCCAGTATTTTGTGAAATCCAAATAACACTACAACCACGTTTGTTATCTGCCATAAGATTCCCATTTCTGACCTTGGCTTCAAAGGTTTTTCTTCTTAGGGGTATGAGCTTCTACACCTGTGTCAGCATACAAATGACTTGTTTCTCTTTTGGAAAATATATATATTTTTTGCCAGCTGGCATGAGGTGAATAACTATAAGTTTTACTTTGAAGAGATCATACAGTGGCACTTGTAAAAAAGCAGTTTTCTCTACAGACTTGTTCACATTAGGAGATAGATTCTTAATCTGTGCTCTTATTCATGCTGTACTGTGTTTAGTGCCCTTTCCAATGACCCAAAAGTGGAGGGTTTTGACTGGTAAGTTGTTCCCTTCTCTTTTCCTTTAGACTGTACAATAACTTTGAATATATGCAGTGATTGTAATCCAGCACTGCAGAGAGATGGGACAAAGAGAATGGTTATTCAAATGGAATCAAGCTGCAGAACTTTATGACGCAGGACTGCTGCACCCTCCCTCCAGAGTAGTACTTTACATTCTTTACTAGAGACAGTTAGCAATTCTTTGACATTCTTTGATTTTCCAGAAAATGATGATTGGTCCCTATATTTACAGGGTTTTACTAAGACATCTGTTTCAATCTTCCAGAGGAATACAGGCAGTGGGATTCCATGTTGCCAAGACTGTGGGTCCAGGCCAGCCAGCAATGCAGACCACCCTGCAGCCTGGAACCCCAGTGCCTTTCAGGTTTGCATTTCCAGAATGACACACTGCAAGATTTCAGTTCCAGTACAATTTAAGGTTTAGGGTATTTTGTCCCAACTGGGGACATTAACAAATTTCCAAAGCTTAAAAATCATCATGGAATGGACATTTTTATTTCCAGCTGCCTGTTCTTTATTACTATCTGCTGCTTACTACTCCTAACTCCTTACTGCTTACTCCATGCCTGAAGAAGAATGTCTGGCATTCAAAATCCTGTCTAACTCTATCCCAACTATGCAATTGATCCAATAAAAAATAAAAAAATAAAATATCACCCAAAGAAATTTTTGCCCCTCTCATAATTCCTGGCGCATTATGGTTACAATACCACTCTAACACTGCATTACTACCCCAGAAATAGATTAGGAGACAAAAGAATGACAAGTGCATCTGGCAACACTGGGATAACCTCATTTCCTGTTAATGTAGCAGAAAAGCTATTCTCAGAGCAGTGCAAGAGCAGGCCGTGAGACTAAAATCAATCTTAAGTGTGGAAGGAGGAATCACTGTCTAATTCTTTGGCATGGGAAGGATCGCTATGTACCCTAGCTAATACAGGATAATGTTTTTAGATTGATATTTAGTAAGTCTCAAAGTTCAATATGGGAGCCAGATGTCAACCTGGAAAAACAAACTAACTACTTAACATCTGGTAGAAGTACATGCAAAATTGCCTCCTATTGTAAAAAAAATACAGCCAGCACCAGAATGGTGAAAAGAGCCCACTTGGGGGTCTATTTAGTCTCAGTATCTGAGATTAAGATGGGCGTGTTCTTGTTTACCAGTTAGTATTTCAAACACAATCATGAAGTCTATATGAAACAAAATGCGTTTTTACAATGATCATTGTTGTTTTGGTATCTAGAGATCCCAAATTAGATCAGAGCTCCATTGTGGTAGGTGCATTACAAACAGATAGTAAGAGACAGTCCTTGCTCCAAACAGCTTACAGTCAGGATAGACAAGACTGGAAAAAGAAGACAGGTATACAGAGGTATAATAATTTTTCCAACGTCACTCAGAAGAAGAACCTGACACACCACATTGTCCTGATTATAAGTTGACCTTTTCCCCCCTTGGAAATAACCATAAAAATTGCAGCCAACTTACAGCCAACCATAACCCTTACAGAAATACTGAATGTTGATTATTGTAATATTTTAGGGAAAAAGCAGTGTTTCCTAAAATTGAACGTGTAAAAGCAGAGTTGACTTATAATCAGAACTTTATAATATGTCTTCCTCTTTTTTATTTTTTATTTTAAAAAGCATGGATGGTATAATCTGTGACCCACCAGAAGGACTGCTGACAGCAAGAAAAGAATTAATCCGAAGCACAGGGTACAAGATTGATAGTAGCTTTTCTTCAGAGAGTTTCTTAAAATGGGTAGCAGCAGGTTTGCAGCTCTCTGAGAGCATGTCTGAAGGGTTAGGAAGCCCCACCTCCCTGTTCTACAATAAAGGAAAGTGTAATTAAAAGAATCCTCCCCTTAGTATGCTGGTAACAGGCTCAAATGTGTCAGACAGTCGGTGCCTGATTCTCTCCCATCCTGTGCCTTGCATTGTCACTTATATTAGAGCTAGGGTGGAGTGTAAAATCAGATGGTTCTCTTTTGTGTATGCTTTGGGCTGGTGTAAAAGGCATATGTCAGGAACAGGAGTAACAGAATATAGTCCTTATTGTTTTGCAACAAGGAAAATTTAGAATAGTTGAAATAAATCTGAGGGCTTTCATTTTTTAATTGTCTTGGGAAATCTAGAGTGCAGGATTTTGTATGCATATCCTGGATGGTGCCCCTGGTCACAGCTGGGGACAGGAGGACAAGAGGGTGAATGATTCTCCTTGTTAATTTAAAACAGTCCACACGTTTTCTAGCATGAGACTCCTATGCAAATGGTTCCTGTGCTGTTTAAACCATTTGGGCTCCTTCCTTATGCTGTTTCTAAGTTTGAAGAATGCCTGCTGGGTATAATTAATATTCCTCCTCCTACACTTACCATTACTCCTGACAGTAAAAATTAAAACATGAGCTTTTCTTCATTCAACCCCAGCCCACGGGAATTCGATTACACAGGAAAAGTTGCTAATAAAACGAAAGGTTTGTAGATCTGCATTCACCCAGGCAAGGTGTAGTTTTCATTCAGCTACCCTGATGGATAAAGGATCTCTCACCTCATCCTGATTGGATGCTTGGCAGTAGCACTGTTTAGCCCTGTTTGGAGAGAAGTGACAACAGACTGCACTGCTGAGCCAGCGTAAACTGTTGATTCAATTGCCTCTCTCGTGGTAGAAGCCTGCAGTATTGTTGCAGTCTTCCTTGTACCAGTCGGTGTTGCTATGGGCACTGCTGCCTAGGGAGCAGAGAATAAGACAGGGAATAAAGAGAAGCTGTCCCAGAACCTTCAATAAGTAGCTTAGTTTTATGCTGCATGTTTTATCTTCTCCTGTAGAATCAAGTTTTATTCTTCTTCTAAGCATTGTTGGCAGATGTGTTAATTCATGTATTTAAATAGACATTTAACAACCAGGGAGAAGCAGCCTCTAAATATAAATCATTATTCCAAACAGGCTATTTAACATCAGACTAATTCTTTTGCCTTATTAGAGTGTCATTTTGTGCACATATCAATTTGGATTAGCAGGAGTAACTTTATAAAAACTTACAAAAGAAGAGAACTCAGGCATTTTACAGGCGTGTCAACCAATTCGTTATAGGTTTACCATTTTAGCCTCCTTTGACTTGTTCACTCATGAAAGACAACAGATATTTTTTTCCACCTTGCTTTGCAGCAGAAGGCCTAGAAAATGATCCATCAAACTGAAAGACTACCACTCAGCCCAGTGGCATCTGACCTACTGGTTCTCAATTCTACAGTTTGATCCTTTCTAGAACGGAAAAAAGGCATGTAGGAGGTTATTTAACACTACCAGTTCAGAGGACTGCCTCTGCTTCTATACTGCATAGAAATGAGGACCATAACGGGTCTGTGTTGCTCAAGCCAGTTGTTCAGGGAAAAGGATGGAATTATTTATTGGAAATATTGAAGCTGCCTCCTCACACTCTATGGGAAAAGGGTGTTGCAGGCAAACATGCTTCACCCAGCTCTTGGTCTTCAGTGCAGCCAGTCTTGGGATGAGCAGCACAATGTCTTGGAAGGAAGGATGGATAAAGCTTAGCTGGTTATAACTCTATGCAGAACACAACAAACAATGCGAGATGAAACCAGAATGACAGACGGTCATCACCTGTTACACAGGTCCATAAGGACGGGACTGACTTTGAACAGGAGCACCTTCAGGATGCAAGTTCAAGAAACCCTTTGTAGTTCAGATTTACAGAGAAACTGACACACTCTTGCTCGGTGTCATCCCTTCAGGATCCGTCATCTTCTGTGGGCCTTCAAACCCAGAAGCTGCATCTAAACTAACTGTGGCTAAGGAAGTTGCGAAGGGGATTAAAAAGCAATTGCCACCTTTCACCAGTGGCTATGGAAGGGTTTTCTAAATCATGGACTGTGGGCAAATCACCCGAATCACTTTAAGATTGAGCTGGGTACATTTATCAGATGGACAGCATGATGGGAGAGGGAGTTCTGGCTCAACAAACGGTGGGTGTAATATGTGAAATTATGTATTAAAAAACCCTATGGTGGGGGAAGGAAGTAACTTTCTTGTAGTACGGTAGGTTTCTGGTAATCTCATTCTTCAGGTTTTCTATTATCTGCAAGGGCCAAGAAAGATTCCCCCTCTCCCTCCTCCTATGAACGTTACTAGCTTTACAGGGACAAAGGAGAAGGGAGATTTACTGTCTGAAGCATTGGATATTGGTCATAGCTAAGGCTGCAGGTTTTTGACTGGTGTGTATTAATGCTCCTGTCAGTACTTTGAAGTCATTGGCCGGAGTCTCTCTCTCTTTTGCTATGGGTCAGACCAGTTTCCTTCATAACGCCGTTTGGCATTTTCTCCGTAGATCAGATCGGCAACAACTGCAGGGCTTTTTACCTTCCTCTATAGTGGAGAGCATGGCCCTTTTCCTACAACCTTCTGAGCACGTATTAAATCGACTACTGCCCCGTCACTGCAGTGGCAGGATATCGGCAGTGCCCTCTTCTTCTCTCTTCTACTTTTACTTATGGCATATTATAGGGTATTCTTGGTGTTTCAGGTACTGTGTCTCAGTTACGTGTGATGGGGAAATATTGGAGGTAATCTGGTAAATGATGGCCCATGATCACAGTGCTGAACTCAGTGCCTCAGCAGATCCCTTCTGGTCCTATGTTCCTAAAATCTTGAATGAGCCATCCTTTGTACCCGCTACAGCTTTTTCATGGGCAGTTTTCAGTGCAGCTTTTTATGAGCAGCCTCAGAAGTAGCAGGAAAGAAGCTGATTGGTACAGGCAAGTAGGAATTGCCACAGTGGCATAGCCTGTCCTGCCCACTGCACCCAAGAACAGTGGGCCGCGCCAGGCATTTTGTAAGATAAGAATCCGTGCAGTAGGTGGCAACAAGAGGTCTCCCCACTGGGGAGTAGGTCTCCCCATTGGCAGAAATCAGACTGCACTTGGAAGCCTGTAGGCTAGTCTTCCCTCTGCAGTGCTTTGGCCATTTCAGTTTTTACTGTCGTAGTGCTGGATATTTTTCCTCAGCCATTTTCAACTGCAATCCCATTCTGATTCCTGCTTTGCTCTGAGCCTCAGTGATCACAGAGGACCAATTCTTCCACTATAAGCCTGCAGAACCAACTGCATGATCAAGCCACTGGAGATGAGTGAGGTAAATTGAGAAAGGCAGTCCACTTGGGAACTAGGTCTTGTACATCATAACCAAGTGCCCTAGTCTATTCCTGAAAGCAAGTGTGCACTGCATACATGAAACACCTTCTTAAAGGTCTGCAGCTGGTCATTCCCCTACTCTCATCCATCATGGGTTTGATACCACCTCACTGGTCTTTCCTGGTGGCAGGAGTGACAAAATACAAATGCCCCAGTGCAGCAAGCTGATGTAACAAAACAGGAGGAAGCACAGCTAGAGAAAGTGAAGGATTGACAACCTTCTGGTTCATCTCCAGCCCCATTCTTTTATGTTGGCAAGGCTTCCCTGAGTCCTGTCACAAAAGACAGATGGGAAATTCCTTGCAGCAAGAAAGATCTGAACTTTGAAAGGAAGCTGGGTTCAACAGAATCCCTGCTGCACTGAGCAGTGCCATGGGAGGAAGTGTGTGCAGATGCTGTGGTAGAAGCAGATACAGAGTTACTCACTTACCAGTGCTACATTTGCAGAAGCTTCTGACCTAGAATCACTGTATTTCTACAGATGAGATTGTATTTATACCAGGCACACTTGGCTATGCAGAGAAAGGCTAACAGGACTTGCAAGCAAATGGCAAAGCCTGCAGAGGTTTTACAGGGGAGCTATTAAATCAACAATGTTTCAGAAGGTCAGAGCATGATGGACACAGTCAGTTCCCAAGAATTCAAGCTATTGGACTGTTTATCCGTATGTATTAGCTTTCTCAAAGATGAAAGAATTCTGAAAGAAAGTAGCAAGATTGTGGAAAGGTAGAAGTGAGCAGTTTTGAAACACCCACAGGGAAATCAAGAAGCATCAAGATTTTTTTATATGGAAGTTGAAGGCCTGGAATTGTAAGTGTTTCCCCAAATTTCATTTACAATTAACATTCCTCATAGCTGCCCCTGCTCTTGATAGTGTCATTCTTTAGCTCTGTGGTATACCTATCTTCAGGAGGAGAATGGGGACTGAGCAAATACTTTTTCTCCATTGACTTAATGCCAAATCCTGATCCCAGTGAAGTCAATGACACACAAACAAAACTTATTTAAAAATAATTATTGCAATGGGGCTAGAATGTAGTTCTTAATGCAACATTTATAATACATTTCTTTGCTTTTCTGATGTTTATAGACTTCCCAAAGATACTAGAAGAGTCACAAAATCTTGAAATAATGAAGCAAAATATGCCTAAGTAAGTTGCTTTGAAATGTTCTCACAAATAAGCAGCTTAATAACTAAGAGAATGCAGGAAAAAAACCTCTGGGCTCACTTGACTTCCAAAAGGATTAGAGCATATCCTCCACTCCAGGAGAGCAGGGTCACAACCTGACTTCAGGTCACAACTGGACCCACAGTGGCAGGGGCAGACACAGGTCTCCATCCCTGTCCCCCACCCCCATCATTCATGATGGGCAATTTGCTAGTTATTATATATAGTTGTATGCCCTTTTCCATTTTTTAGATAAAGAAATTTCTTCATGCGGTTTTCCATGCCCTTGATCTCATTGGTCTCTACTCACTGCACTCTTTCCAGCTCTTAATATTCTTTTGAGGTGGCATAAACCATGTACACAGTGGCCAGGTACAGCTGCATCATTACTTTGGAGCAGTTACCATTCCTTATGCACCTTACCCAGCTTGCTTTTCTGACTTTGGCATCACATGAAGCTGTATATGATGATGATGCCCAGGCTCCTCTCAATTTCATATAATTAACTTTGAACCCTGCAAGGTGTAAATGCAGTTTGAATGTTTCCCTGTGATGTGCACTAATATGCAGGAGTCCTTGAATCTTGTTTACTGTGAGGTGTCCATCCATCTAGCTCAGTAATGCTCAACTTCTGGTCAGCGGGTGCGATCCAGCACGAACAGTCATGACATCTAGCCTACAGGGCAGCAGGGGCTATTACCCATGCCACTGCTATTTCACTGTCAAATTCCCAGGCCCCACTGCAAGATGACATGTCACAGTGTGCCATACTGGAATGGCATGTGGGGCTGTGGCCAGGACTGGGGTGGCAGGTCCAATCTGGCATGCATACATCATGGCCAACGGACAAAACTCATGCAGTGAATCTAGCCTGTGGACTGCTCAGGGTTGCCAATTCAAGACAATATTTTTAAACTCATGAGCTGCAGACCTCTTATTGACAACCAAACTATTTTACTGACACTTTACATATTGTAAAATTTAAGAATTGTCTTGGTTGACAACCCTGCTCAATTGTAGCAAAGGTTTTATACCATGCTGCCCCCATCCCAAAGGTCTCCTACTCACTCCCAAATCTTGGTACCCCTGAATGCACCCCACACCATGCTGCCCCCCAGCCCACCTTCCAGTCTTACCCCTGCCAGCTCCCCCCCAGTCTTGGCACAGACCCTCAAAGAAGGACTCGTGTCTGCCTACCTGTCACTCCGCAGTGTTACACAGACAGGAGGTGCACCAAAAGTAGCAGCAGCAGCAGCAGCACATGGCTGGGGGTTGGGGAAGGAGTCAGAGAGCCATGAAAAGGGTTCCCTTTAGGGTGCTTCACTCCTGCTTGGACACTAGGTGGTACTGTTGAGCTCTGTGTGTCAACATTGAAGCTCTGTGGTTGCAAAAGAAGCTGAAGGCAATCAGCTCCATGTTTTTATGGAGCTGATTTTATGGAGGTGTTTTTTGGTTTATGTTTTTACAGACGGCACATTTTTAATGGAATTTAAGGACAGACAATTTTAGCTTTGTTATTTACAAAGTGTCTGTACATTTACTAATAGTTGGAAACCCTGGGACCGACTCTGAACCATTCATCCAACATGCAGCCAGGACAGTTCGGGCGCCACTGATCTAGCTCATTTAGGTCTCTCTACAGTTCCTTATTTAGGATAGTCAAAGCCAGGGAGGACTGTAACTATCAACCACCCTTTTTGTTATGAAATATTGAGGCCCCTTCCTTAACTTTTGCCAAGATGAAAATCTATTATTTGCCTTTCATCTTCTAACCAGCTTTTAAGCCATAGTGATACTTGGCCTCCCACTGTCCCCTCCCAAGAGAGGTGTTTTAACAGTGGATGGCTTCCCTCTTTACCCATCTCATTTGGTTAGAGCAGATCATTAAACACCAAACTGGAGAATTGTCTTAGACTTCGGAATGTTCTAAGACACGTCTTGTAATAGCAAGTTATATAATGCTAATGAACCAGAGGCTCTTATATTTTTAGCATGACAAAAATAATTTTAATTGCAACCCTTCCCCTTCAATTAGCACCCCCTTTTAGAGCCAGGAACTCAAAATAAGTCACCAGAAATTACGCAGCAGAAGCAAACCTGAGAAAATTACCATTTTATGGTAGACTCTGTATTTAAGAGTCAGGAAGCATAGCTGTTATCTGCAATAAGACAGACACTTTACTGTATTCACCTGTCAAGTTCTATTGCTTGCTTTCTTGCATTTTATTTATTCTTTAAATGGTGCTATTCCCACAGTGATCCAGTTGCTATAAATTATCCATCTATAATGCATCACACTTTGCTGATGGGTGTTCAATAAAGAAGACTAAAATTAAAGAATGGTGGGCTTCAGGTTTTTTCCTCCTTGACTAAATGGGGCAAGTACTTCTGAGATACCTAAATGCCTTTGCAGTGTATCATGCTTCAAGATACATCCTTGTTAAAAAAAAAAAAATGAGCACAATTGCTTGACCTCATCATGGCCTAGCAGGGAGGGTTTGAAGGAAAAACAAAGTATATTGCCTTGACAATTCTAATTGTTCAAATTTTATTCTGTCTGTGTAGCTGCAAAGACCTAATCACACACAAAAAAGCCATTTCAATGGGTGTGCTGAATGTGGAGAAATACATAGCGAACAGTGAGGAACAATCATTTTCTTTTTATTCTTGTTAAATAAAGCCAAACAGAGTAAATTAAGTCTGGTTTTAATGAAATTTTTATAAGTATGTAAAGGTCGGTCTAAGCTAATGGAATACAATTTGTTTGAACTCTGTAGTCCTTTTTTAAAATTAATTTTTCATGATCCATTTCAATTTTTCTATTACTGGTAGGTTCATAGAATTCAATTGTTTGACTATGTTGATAGATTTAACCCTTGCAGCTCCTAATAGTTTGTAGGCAGTGTGTGTGTGTTTTGGGGGGTCAAGGGGGTGTTAGGAGGGAATAGATACTTATATTTTGGAAAATCTACTGGCATTATATCATTTCCTCCCTCAACTGATTGCTATGAACCCCACAAAAAATGATGTTCTCCCTCTTAAAGTGGATCCTATATAGACAGATGTGCCTCCTGTTCTTTTGCAAACAGCAAAGCTGCCTCACTTATTCTGTAAATGTCAAGGTGCTAATTAATTGAAACTACAGTCAGCTGTGGACAAATCAAGGCATTTAGAAGAGAAAAAAAAGTGTCAACAGAAATACAGCAGTGCACACAGGACTGCAGGGCATGTTTTACATAGTCTGCTTGCAGCTTCTGAAAGAAGTGGTAGAAGTTTGTGTGATGTCTTACACAAAGAGGATCTGTGTCATACTGATAAGAAGAATTCAACTAGAAATAGAGAGGGCTTATTGTATCTTCTAGTTCAGTGCTGTATACCTCTTCAAAGGCCCAGGACACTCAGTGACCAGCTTAATTGTACTAAATGGGGGAGGGGAAGGCCATGCTAAACCCCGAGAAAGCCACAGAATTCTGCTCCACAGCATTCCTCTTTAGCAACTGAAAGGAGTGTATGAATGAGACCAATAAGATATGCCAGGACATTCTGCACAAGGTCTGGGAACTTATTTACCTATTTCCTTATACTGTATCTAGCTCTTGTATAGTTCTTGCCATCAACATATCTCAGAGTGGTTTACCAAAGAGGTCAGTATCATTACTCCGATTTTACAGATGAGGAGACTGAGGGACAGAGACAAAAAGAAGTAAACCCTGAATCTCTGTCCATTTTTACACCCATCAAGCCACATATTAGGCATCCCATTCCTAAAACTGGCATCAAGCAATTGCAGAACTTTCTTCACATTTCCTGATGGCCAATGCTCTACCTTTACCTCAACCATGCCCTGCTCAAGCCATCCATGAGATTTCAGTCAACTTCTTGTAATTATAATTTTTTCCTGTTATATTTTAAGCCTCAGGACACAAATGTCACATAAGTCCTCTTTGTTTAGACGGTGTCCATTGACCATTTAATTACATAGTAATTACCATGTAGCGGTTGGGTAATTACATGGTAAGTACCATATCATTATATATGAATACTTCTGTCGTCTTAACCATGGTGAAAGTCACGTGGTAATTACTTTTGGATCTACTAAGTGCAATTGCACAATTATTCACTGCAGCCTGTAATTATTGAGTAGTTATATAGTATTTACCAAGTGTGCCCTATAAATTACCATTTATAAAATGCGCAAGACAGAGGAAGCCAGCAGAATGGCTGATGAAAGTTCCAACCCATACAATTATAGGGCAATAACCACAGAGGACAGCATTTCTTTGCCATACTGGTCTCTCTCTGAACCAGATGCCCACAGGGAAAAAACAACAAAGACTAACAAAAACTCAAAACCCATATTCCCTGATGTAAAACTGATTTAACCAGCATGGAAAGCCCCTGGGCTTCTTAAGAATTCTAGGCTAGTGTCAGACTTGACTCAGGACAAAGAAGCCATGAAGTTCATGTGAAATCTAAGGAAGCAAGCAAGTTTCTTGTCTCAAATGACCAAAATTCAAAGTCAGCTGTATTGGCTAATGCAATTAGCTCTTACCTGTTTCATGACTCACAGGAAGTACTGGGGAATGTGGGTATTCAGAGGAGCAAGCAGAGCCAAAGACTAAGAGGCACTCAACATCTTATCCACTGAATCCCAGAGGTAGCTAGTAGCTCCTTTCCCCTTTTACGGGGATACATACCATGGAAACTGTGTCCCAGGTATGGCTGTGGGAAGAATTAGCTGAACTGCTCATTCACCAAAACATGTACTTTTTGGTGAACCAAAAGTATTTGAGAGTTCAGGCTGCATCTGGCAAATCATTCTAACTGATTGCAATTTTAATGGTGAATTTATTTATTCATCCTCTAAAATATCATTTTCCCCTCAAATTAAAAGACTCCCAGAGAATCCCAAAATCAATTAAATAAGTGAGGCAGCAACAAAAAACTTAAACAGTAAGGGTCTGCCAAAGGCAGGTGAGACCACAACTGGTAGAGAAATGAGAAAAGGGTGGAAAAATGAAGACCCAGTGAGAACAACACCACAAAAAATATTGCACTCTGCAGTGACACTCTTACTCACCAAAATGATTGCTTGTTAAATCTGGCTTTCATGGTGAGGTACTCCTTTATGATCTTTGTATTCTCCTACCATTGCCATGTCTTGCAAAGTTACTTCTCTTCCAGTATTTACTCTTTCAATAACTTGGAACAACTTTTCTTTTACTCAAGCCTCTTTCATCAACTCAGTTTCCTTCCTCTTTTCAATGGGGTGGGGGAAAGGGGGTCTCTCTTCCTCCCACCCTCACTTCTCTCACATGATCCAAGCAGCCAATCTAGAACTGCCCCCACCCTCTATTTCCTCTTCCTTCCTCACTTGCATGAGAGTTTCTCAGCCCTATCACTATATTGGTTTCCTCCATTACAACAATTTCCCTCTCCTCTTATAACTCTTACATTTTCCTGTGGAACCCTCTCTAGTTATCCATCCTTACTGATGCCCATGCTTCAGTAAGGTATATTCTGACTGCCCTGTCATCCAGCAGATCCCTTCTTAAGGAAGAACTTGTTTCACACTATTTATGGTAAAGAGCCTAACAACAGTGGGTAGGCAGGTGACCCAGCAGTGTTTTGTTACTTTTGGTTGCTCATTTTTCTTAACGTAAAACAAAATGAAATGTGAGTGTGATACTTTCTTGGTCCCAGGAAGCAGGCAGCAGGAGCCAGGCTCTGTGCTTTGCTCCACTGCAGCAGCTGCTGCCTCCTGCAGGTGCCAGTTGAGGCTTGGATGCTGCTGCAGGGGGCAGGGGGTTGTGACCCTGGTCCCTGGCCCTGTAAGCTG